ATAAATACTTTCTAGCGTTTGAAAGAAAAGAAAAAGAAAGAAAGAAAAAAAAAATCAATTTTAGCCTTTAGTTTTCACATTTTGTAAATTTAGCTACTTGATAACACTTTTTAGAAACAACAATGTTTGGTAGCCTGAATTTTTATAGCCCGAATGGCTCGAATGTATCAAAACGATATCGTTTAAACGACGTCATTTTGATACAATCGAGCCATTCGGACCACACAAATTCGAGCTACCAAACAATTTTCTTTTAGAAATTGGATTTAAATTAAGAAGTAAAAATAATTTATTCACTATTTTCAAACTGTGATTTTTCTGCTTAATTTCTTAATAAATTATATCAATTTAATTAAATTGACATGATTTAAAAAAATAAAAAGATAAAATTGGTACAGATAGAACTACCACAAGACAAATTTTAGAACCATGAGTATAATTTGGCTTTTTATTTTTTATTTTTATTTTTGTCAGTCGATAAAAGAATAATTACAAATATGATAAATATTTACATTACCAAACAAATCACTAACTCATAATAATTAAAAAATTAACAAAACTTAAACACCAATACACTAAGCCCACTAAACCCAAACCCAACAATTATTAATAATCACGTATAACTCTCGTAATGGAAGAGAAATAAACATCATGATAAAGAATACCAAATTCCTCTTCGTATAAAAGTTAAACTCAAAATCTCACATTACAAAAATTACAAAACGTACATTCTCTCTCTTTACCTACGTTAGTTAGACATTACCATTACACCTATTTTTTAATCAAAAATAATATTTATAGTCAACTCATTCACATAAATATATCAAAAAAGTTATTATATGATTATGATTTATTTTATGCGTAAATCTTACCATGTATAAATTAAATTTGAATTACACAATAAAATTTTTAAGATAAATTTTATTTTTCCTCTTTGTAATTTAAGTTAGGTACAATTTATCTTCTTAATATTTAGAAATGATCACATAATCTCACGTTCTTTATGAACTGAAGTGCATAGTTAGATTTATTAACAATTTAATAAAAAAAGAGTAAAATACTCTATATATAAGTAATTTAAGTGTGTAAATTACAAATATTTTTATCATTTATTTAGCAAATAAAATGTACTTTAAGCTAGGTACTTTATTTAATATTCAATTACCCTTTTGAAATTTGAAAATTAGCATATAACTCATTATATCTGACACGTATTTTACATTTGCTGTTAAGTTAGACGGAATGTTTAACAGTTCACTTCAGTCCACAAACCACGTAAGGGTTATATGGTCATTCCTAAATATAAGGAGATAAACTGTATATGACTCGTATCACAAGAGATAAAGTAAATTTTCACATTTCTTTTTTTAAATGTTAGAAAGAGTGAAGTGATTTAATGAGGGATCAATTTCAATTTCAAATTAAGTTAAGATATCTCAAATAATCCATCTAACTTTTACAAAATCTTTCACATGAATATATATAGCTACGCAGCGCTGCCCCTGCCACACTCAAATTGTTTTGCATTCTCTCTCTCTCTCTCTCTCTCTCTCTCTAAATTACATATTCATTCAATCAAGTGGTGAAAGCAAGAGGTAGATCATGGAAAAATCACACCCAGTGGAGGCCTTCGGATGGGCAGCAAGAGACACATCTGGTGTCCTCTCTCCTTTCCAATTCTCCAGAAGGTAATTTGTTACACCCATTCTCCCTATGGGAAATTATTTTAAAAAACAAGTTCATGATAAAAAGATTATGACTTTAATAATTAATATTTTTTAAGTTTTATCACTAATTATTTTTTACAATTTAAACTGAATTGAAATTTCCTCTTTTCTTATTGAACGCTCTAGGTGAACTCGTATTTTATACCAAAGTAAGGTTGTGTTTGGTTCAAGATTTGGAAAGATAAATAATAATAATAATAATAAAAAAAAAGTGTGAAATGTATCCTTCCAAAATTTATGAATCAAACATAACTTTATTTTTATAATTTTTTTTTTTTTAAATTTTTTATGAGCTAAGATAGCTTATTGTGTTTAGGAAATAGCTAAAATAGTTATTGTTTTAGGATGTATTTGGATGATGGATTTAAGAAGGAATTTAAAAAGGAAAATAAAAAATGTTGATTAAAATTTATCCATTTTTAATTTTTTTTAATATTTCTATTTAAATTGATAATTCAAACACAACCTTACCAAAGTAAGGTTGTGTTTGGTTCAAGATTTGGAAAGATAAATAATAATAATAATAAAAAAAAAAGTGTGAAATGTATCCTTCCAAAATTTATGAATCAAACATAACTTTATTTTTTATAATTTTTTTTTTAAAATTTTTTATGAGCTAAGATAGCTTATTGTGTTTAGGAAATAGCTAAAATAGTTATTGTTTTAGGATGTATTTGGATGATGGATTTAAGAAGGAATTTAAAAAGGAAAATAAAAAATGTTGATTAAAATTTATCCATTTTTAATTTTTTTTAATATTTCTATTTAAATTGATAATTCAAACACAACCTTAGCAAAAAAGTTAATGTGACATTTAACTTTTTCTTTATAGCTTATAGCAAATAGATTATTAGCCTTCTGATATTTTAAACTAAAAAATTGGCCATTAAAATAATAATAATAATAATAATAATAATAATAATAATAATAATTGTAGATAAAATGGTAAATGCTTACTATTCTTTTTCTCGTTCATCTCTAAACTTTCAGACTTCTCTTCAGATTTAAAAAAAAAAAAAAAATTTTCTCATAATGTCTAGTATTAATTTAATTAAATCACTATTAATTATAAATTATTAATTATTTACTGTAATTCTTAAATTTTTATTCTAATTTTAATTTAATTATATTTTAGATCACAATTAATCCTAAATATTTAACTATTCATTGTAATTACTAACTTTTTAATCTAATTTTAATTTAATTATATTTAGATCACAATTAATCCCAAATTATTAATTATTTATTATAATTTGTAACATGTTAATCTAATTTTAATTTAATTACATTTTAGATAAATTCTCAATAATTGTTTATTTTATATTTTATTTAATTATATTTTAAATCAATGCTTAATTATATTTTATATTTTAGATCAATTCTTAATTATTTATATTTTTTTATTTTAATTAACATATTAATATAATTTTAGGTTTTGAGAAAATGAGGGTAAAATTTTCTTTTTGTTGTATTAATTTCATTCTAATTTTTTAGAAAATAAAATCTACTCTAAAAAATGTTTTTGGTTATATTTGAACAATAGGGGATAAAATGCTCTAGCCCTAAACCACAAGAGGGTAAAATAAATTTAACCCAAAAAAATGTAAGCACCTCTGTGAGGTGTACCAAACAATCCAATTGTGTGGTACTGTTTAATCAGAAAGATGGTATTTATTGATCTTAATCGAGCATGGTGGTTTTGTGTGTTGTAGAGCAACTAGAGAAAAAGACATAACGTTCAAGGTGTTATATTGTGGGATCTGTTACTTCGACCTTCACGCAATCAAAAATGAATGGGGGCAACACCAGCTATCCTTGCCTTCCTGGGTGCAATTGCATGCACTTTCTCTCAATCTTCCTTTATATATATTTATTTATACAAGCAGAAATACATATAAATATTCTGAAACGTTACTAACTTACTAGGCATAATCTTGTTTTCATATACAGTAGTATTTTTTAAAATATAGACTATAATTGTGATTTTTTTGTTCTAAATAAAAAAGATAAACTTTATCTAAAATACCAAACAACCCAAGGGTACTAGAGTTTGTCATTTTTTGTGTTTTGTGCATCAACTTCTATATTTGGTGTACCTTAATTAGAAAGAAGGTATTTGGTTGGATTATGAAATTCAAATCAATAAATAAAATCTAGGGTAAATTACAAATACATCTCCTGAAATTTGTTTAAAATACGAATTATGCCCTATAGTTTGAAAAATTACAAATACCTCACTGTTAGAATTTTTTATTTAACAGAATTCACTGAAAAAATGAAATTTATAATTGTTCACATATACAATTATAAAATTATCTGAACTATTAATCGAAATAAAATTTTAACATTATTAAAAATTATTAATTAACTTGATGATTTATTAATAAAAAGACATATTTGTTATGAAATTAGAAACCTTAAAGGCATAATATAATTTTTAGAACTATAGGAAATAATTTATAATTTAAGTAAATCTCAGGAGGTGTGTTTGTAATTTATCCTAAAATCTAATATATGAATAGACATGAAAATGTTTACTCGGAACTGCCTAATTAACACAAGCTGATATATGCCAATTGAATTGACAAATGCAGGCATGAGATTGTGGGTGTAGTAACTGAGGTAGGTAGCAAGGTACAGAAATTTAAAGTTGGAGACAAAGTTGGGGTAGGATGTATGGTTGGATCATGTCACTCCTGCAACAATCACTATAAGAAATAACACCTTTGTCGATCAAAAAATTAGTCATCAAAAGTCTATTTTTAATCAATAAAAATTATCTGCGACTAATTTTTCTTTTTTAGTTGCCAAAAGGTAAAAGTCGCCAAAAGTTGAAGAATCACCGACTTACAATTTAGTTGCCAAAAAGTAAAGAATTGCATGATTTTAGTCGCAAAAGTGTAGGATTTGCTGACCAATTTTTTGGTCGCCAAATCTCTTTTTTTTTCTTTTTTTTTTTTTATAAAATTTTTTTTTTCATGAAAACCGGTTTTAGAAAAGCCGTTTTTTAAAATTAAATTTTTTTTTATTTATATGTTCAACATAAATATTTTTTGTTCAAAATTTTTTTTTCATGAAAACCGGTTTTAGAAAAACCGTTTTTTAAAATTATTTTTTTTTATTTATATTTTCAACATAAATATTTTTTGTTCAAAATTTTTTTTTTAAGAAAACCGGTTGAATTTAGTAAGCATGTCTTCTCAAAAGCTATATCCTCTTTGAAGTCCAACATGACAAAAGAAATTGAAATGAATAATTGTTATACCACACCACTATCAATCAATATATATATACTATCTATCCTATTATTAACTTCCATTTGAGTCTCAAAATTGGAGTCATATGTTCAAGTTATTACAACTAAAAACTTGAGAAAAGTTCTTTTATGAAAAATATACAATCCAGATAAAATGCTAGTAAAGTCAAAATTTACAATGTTGGTGTTCACCACTATACAAGGTACCGGTCAAGTTCCAATTTGTTATCATGGAGATATATGTTTCTCAAATCCAAGCTTGCATCTGATCAATACACATTATGAGGGGAAATAGATCAGAACACAGAGTATCCAATTTCTAGATCTTTCTTTAGATATAAAGCCTCAAGCAGAGCAGAGAAAAGGCAAAGATTGCAAATAAATAATGAAACTTAATAAAACAGCAAAATAATTCAATGCTGGTGTTCACTATTCTAGAATGTGTACCTTAAATCTTCTTCTTAGGTTCCTAGAAAAGTTGAATGCTATGTATGTGGGCTAAATCCAAGCTGCCCGATTTTCATCCTACCAAAAAAAAAAAAAAACAGAGCTAGTCAATTTTCTACTAATTTATATCTATACTTTGGCATTCAAATAACAGTCCAAGCACATAACCCTATCAGACACCATACAAAAGCTAAATAAATTTGTATTTAATCACTACCTAGAGCTGTTAATATCAAAATGCAGCCTTATGTCATATATATGGGGAATTCAAGAAATGGTGATGGATGAGGCAATGCCACTGTTGCAGAGTAAGCAGCACATCTGCAACTATTATCATCCATCATTCCAAGGTTGTTAACCTTGTGATCTTTTTACAATAACGAGAACTAAAAATTTGGATGCATTAATTAACAAAACACATTGCAAACAACTCAAAAGATTAATTTGCATCTTGCAAAGTGTATAATTAAGGAAGACACCTTGCATGAAAAATTAGGGTCCAAAACCCATCCCCACAAACACAACTATAAAATCTCAAGATTTCACATCATGAGAACTCATAAGCACAACCATTCCAGCAAGAAGTGTTGCCTTTGAACAAAAGAGCTGCCAAAAACAAAGTTCACGTTGCATGTACTCTGAAATAAAAGATATTTCCATTTTTTTTTTCTTCTTTTTGAGTTGGTACAAATGCAAAATCCATGCACACAAAGAACAACTCCAAAAGCATAATGTTTCTTTTTTCATAAACATATCAAATGCACTGAAAAAACAAAATTAAAAATAAGACCACATCAATACATGAAAACAGATTAAATAACAATAAAAAAGAAAAGGAAGCAAGGAAGGTAGAAGCTTGTAAAATTCAACAAAGAAAATGAAATATGACAGCTACCCTTTAAGAAATGTGCTAAATATTGAAACAACTACAATTGTATTGAAAAATAATCACCAGAACAATGTCATGGATAAAACAGCTCACCTTGAGACAGTAATTTCATAGGGAAAGGAGACACCTTCAAGATTCGGTATGGGTGGAACGTGATCTTTTTTCTCATTCACAAATTTTATTATCTGAAATAAAACCTCACGGAGAGATGCTTCAAGTGCTGCCCGCCGATGACTTCCCTCATCCAGAGCACTCTTTGCCATCATTCACAGGAAAGCATACATCTTTACGAGTTATTACTAAAACATTAATAAAAAGAGAGCAACGCACTGCAATGAACGTACCTCCCAGGTCTACTACTAATTTGGAATGATGAGAAATGACAACGGAATGAATCAAATAATCATGTTTTGTTCTATTACTTCAACTTTCTGTTACCATATAATTTGACAATCCATGTTAGAAGTATAAATTAGTTGATGATTTCAATTTTTTGTTACTTCAATAATGTCAATTGTTACACAGTGCCAAATGCCAATGGGCAGGGGTCACTTTCTGTTTTGATGCATTTCAAATTTGACAATTTATTTAGTACAAGCCTTTCTATAATTTGACAGCAGATCTTTGAAGTACTAGAATGAGAACAAATAATCAGCAACAATGAGAGCTAAAAGAATTTCAGCTAACATGGATTGCTCCACCAATAGCAAGAAATGACAGCGAAAGTTGAACTCCTAATCATGTATCATATGGAACATTTCAAAACTAATCACATTTTTCTCTAGTCTCTACTATAGGAGATAGCTAATCCATAAGCATTTCATGGTGAATGATTGCAACTTTTAGCTTTAGAATCTTAGTCCAGGTGAGATGAATCAGTCCAATAGTTTTATCCGTGGGAGAAAAAAATACAAACCTAATTTCAAAATCTGAAATAAAACCTCACGGAGAGATGCTTCCAAGTGCTGCCCGCCGATGACTTCTCTCATCCAGAGCACTCTTTGCCATCATTCACAGGAAAGCATACATCTTTATGAGTTATTACTAAAACATTAATAAAAAGAGAGCAACGCACTGCAATGAACGTACCTCCCAGGTCTACTACTAATTTGGAATGATGAGAAATGACAACGAAATGAATCAAATAATCATGCATTGTTCTATTACTTCAATTTTCTGCTACCATATAATTTGACAATCCATGTTAGAAGCTTAAATTAGTTGATCATTTCAACTTTCTGTTACTTCAACAATGTCAATTGTTACACAGTGCCAAATGCCAATGGGCAGGGGTCACTTTCTGTTTTGATGCATTTCAAATTTGACAATTTATTTAGTACAAGCCTTTCTATAATTTGACAGCAGATCTTTGAAGTACTAGAATGAAAACAAATAATCAGCAACAATGACAGCTAAAAGAAGTTCAGCTAACATGGATTGCTCCACCAATAGCAAGAAATGACAACGAAAGTTGAACTCCTAATCACGTATCATATGGAACATTTCAAAACTAATCACATTTTTCTCTAGTCTCTACTATAGGAGATAGCTAATTCATAAGCATTTCATGGTGAATCATTGCAACTTCTAGCTTTAGATTTTAGTCCAAGTGAGATGAATCAGTCCAATAGTTTTATCCGTGGGAGAAAAAAATACAAACCTAATTTCAAAATCTTTGATCATATAATATACATAATTATGTAGAGTACTAGAACTATGAATCAAATATTTAGTGAAAGGTTTAAAACTTGAAACAACAGTGTTTTACATGTTTATGAGTTCATAGCCCACGAGGTTAATCAATCTGTTGCCGACTAGTGAACAAAGGTCTGTTTTGGTGAGTATACAAACATATATATATTTATATGTATATGTATATCATTTGTTTTTTTTCTTAGTGGGCTCGTTAATCAAGCTTCAATTCAATCATCATAAAGGCACTAAGTAGTGATGCAGAGTGATATCAAATTAAATGGATTGAATTAGGTGTTTCAAGTTTTTGTTTGAACATTTCATTTTTATTAGGGATTATTAAAATTTACACTTAAGTGAATGGCCATTTAATTGCACTTAAGTCAATTAAAAGCTTAAAATTAGTTTAGGGTCATCTTATTATAAATATATTTTTTTTGGTATGTGAGAATTTCATTAAAAGAAACAAAGAATACAAAAATCAAGGGAGGCATACCTTTCAAATACCAAAATCAAGAAAAACACGAAGCACCTAGACTAATGAGGAACAAAAATTCTCTTAGAAATCTACTAGTTTTTACACAATAGCAGATTAGAGTAAGATTGCTTAATAGATGCAAACTGAGAATATTTAACTCTAATATCAGAATTAATCTGATTCATCAAATGTGTAGGCCTATGACATCCTTTGAAAGCCCATGATTTCTCTCTTGCCAGATTTAGGCCTCGTTTGGCAACAAGCCGATTTAGTCAAAAAGTCAAAAAGTTACTAAAAAAGTCAAAAAGCCAACAACCTATACCAAAAAGTCAAAGATTCTCTTTTCTCTCTACTTTTTGCACATCTTTTCGTAAAAAGCCAAAAAGTCATCCCAAATATACTAGTTTTTTTTAGCTCATATTTTAGCCAAATAGCCAAAAAATTACTAAATTAGCCTGTTCCCAAACGAGGCCTTAGTATACCGTTGCAGCCTAAGCAATTTTCCTCACTATATGGAAAAAAAAATTCCCACTAAATTGGTTAGCAATCCATGATATCTAATTATCCCTAGAATGTTGAGCCTTAGAAAAACAACAAATCTGCTCCCAAATTCCCAATAAATTGGTTAGCAATCCATGATATCTAATTATCCCTAGAATGTTGAGCCTTGACATTTGTAATCATTTGGTGATGAATCCTTCCATTGTAATTTATCCTAGTCACAAAATTCTTAAAAACATATTTGTGCCCGAATGTGCCATCAATAAGAAAGAAAGATTTTATTTTTATTCTGCCTAAAGCTCACAATGCCGAGCTCAAAAGCTCAACCATTTCAGGAGCACCAACTATAAGTAGATATTTGTAAAAGATCATACACAGCAAGAATGACTCTACAAGAATCAAGTAATACCCCTTTAAACCAAGAAATCATGAAAGGTGAAAAAAAAAGAGACCATTCCCAAATGAAAAGAAACTGAACCAATTAATGAAACTGCCACTACAAACAAAAAAATCCCCCTATTTAAGAAGCATCCACTAAAGAAAAAGCATAAGCAAAAATAGTTACTAAATTCAGCAGAAATTGAGGAAAAAGAGCTCTGACAAATACAATAGTTACTATCCAATATAAAGCAACAAACTTCACAAAATAATACCAGAGTGGCACCACAACCCCAACTGAAATTTCCTGGAAGCTGAACCCAAGTAGTCCATCAAACTTTGCCACTACAAATGAAAGAGATCCTTCTCTTGTAGCCTCCATGTACACCTGAAAAATAAAGCATGTGTGTCTATCACCAAACGCAGAGTGTGGAAAACCAATTCCACATTAGAACTCAAAACAAAACAGGAACTCACTTGATCTTTGACCACAAGACTGCCGACTTTCACATTATCTTGACTAAGGAAGCCAGAAACTGATCAAGATCCATAATGTATTGCAATAGATTTTCTTGAATCACAAATCAACAAAAGCTATTTCAGCCTAAATCTGATAATAATCTCTAGATGTCACATGCTTTCGTATGTTAAACAATTTGAGTTGGGACTCAATAATGTCGAAGCCAAGCATTTATCAACATTACAAAAATAAAAGAAAATAGAATAAGAAATGTACCAATTTTGTGATATGATTTGGACTTGGAGTGCTTGTACTTAGGATGGAATAAGCAAGCAATCTGCACAAAAAAATAAATAAATAAATTGATTTAATAGGTAATTATTTTAGCAACTAAAGAGCATGTCAAAACCAATAAACAGAGAGCCCCGAAAGGATAGCTGAGCCTCATTTCAGAGAATTCCCTGGTTGAATAATGACCAAAAGGTAGGCTCAATGTACATTCAGTGTGCATGAAAAGCAAGCAAACGTTGGATAATTGAAAGAACAGGGACCCAGAATCCATAATCCAAACACACTCTCTCTGCGTCTCCTTTTGGTTCTTTAAAATTCACTGTGGATACATTGAACAGTACATGGGTCTTTAAAAGCAACGAAATGCAGAAAGAAGAGAAGAGAAGAGAAAAGATGAGATTGTACCGTGGATTGTGGTTGCCGCCGCAACCAGGTCGAAGTCTCCAACGAGAGAGATTGAAATGTTGGAAGTAACATCAATGTCTCACACTGCCATTACAGACAAGCAACACAGACAGAGCTAGAACCTAGCACTATGTTTGGGAACTTAGGAGAGGAAAGAAAAGAAATTATTACTTAAGTAAGAAGAGAAGAGCAAACTATAAGAGAAAATCAAATATCAAATCCTAAGGATCTACTGAGCCCCAAATCTACCACTATTTGCCAAATAAGTATCAAAATACTCAAATGAGAGTTCCAAAAATCCAAAACCCTAGAAAGCAAGAACATAAGGTTGTGAACCCTAAATATTCAGCAATCCGAGAAAAATCAAACTAATAGACATTTTGACTAAACCACAGAGGAAACAGAGAACGAGAATGACTTATTCAAGAGAGAAAATGAAGTGTATGAATCATTCAAGCAAAACGCTCAAAGAATCTAAAGTAAACTATGTGGAGAAACCCAAAAAAAAAAATTTGATAAACTCCAATCTAATGAAAGACGTATTTAAACTTTACCTTCAATCGCAATGAGAGAGAGAGAGCGAGAGAGAGAGAGAGAGAGAGAGATTCGATCCTACCGAAAGGAGGAGGAGAGTGTCTCTAGAATGAACTAGATCTAAGTGCCCAAAATCTGTCTTCGAGCCCTCTCTTCTCCCTCTCTTGTCGACTTTGAAGGCAATTTGGAAGCGGCTCGACCGGACCCGACCTCCGACCCCGATCACAATCGTTTTTTCTCGAAAAATATTTTCGTGGCGATGGAGATGGTATTTAAAATTAAATCTCCGATTAATTTCGGGTCAGGGGCGGTAATAAGTGCCGAATCCCCGGCCCCGGCCCGACCCCGGCCCGTCTCTCCCCCGACGTATTATATATATATAATATAATATGCTTTCTATTATATATATAATATACTAAGGCTTTATCTCTGATTTGACTTTATCTTTTTCATTAATATCTACTCACTCTCTCTTCCCTTTTCTCTCTCTCTTTTCACCTCCTCAAGGCTGTATTACACTTCACTGAACCCATCCTCTCTCTCCCCTCTACTCTCTCTCACTCTTACTGACTCTCACTCTCGCACCTCTTCTCCTCACCATCGCTGTCCGCGACGTCTTCTCCTCAGTGCCACCGCCGCTGTCCGCGAGGCCGGAGTCGCCGTCCAGCTCGTACCTCTGCTTCACCTTCGTCGACTCTGCACCTCGGTCCAGCTCGCACCTTTGCACCGCGGATCTGAGATCTATTGTTGCCGCTTCACCTCCTCTGTCGTCCATCACCGTGAATCTGAGATTTGTTGATGTTGAAATTTTGTTGATCATTTTGTTAATATGAGATCTGTTGATGTTGTTGATGAAGATTTGTGTTGTTTTTTTTTTTTTCTTCTAGTCGGGGAGTTTTCGGGGTCGGGGAAACCCGATCCCCGTTAGGGAACGGGGACGGTGACTGTGATAAGTTCCTCGTCGGGGATCGGAGCCGAGGACGGGGCCATGTTCACCATCGGGGATCGGGGACGAGACAAGTTTACCGTCGGGGATCGGGGCTGGGGACGGGGAAAATTTCAACCTCGGGGATCGGGGACGGGAAGGGTCATCCCCGGCCCCGCCCCGCCCCGTTGCCATTCCTATTTGAACCGTCTCTAGAATGAACCAGATTGAAGTGTCTCTTTAGGGTTTTGCTTCTGCCTTCTTCGAATCAACAAAGAAAATAAAATGTAACAATTTTTTCCATTGTCTTTGGTTTAACAATTAAAAAAATAAAAAACTTGGTTGCCCTCTTCTCATTGATGTATATGTTCTTTTTTCTAATGTATATTTTTTGGGGATGAATTGGGGCCAAAAAATTTTATTTTGGCTCCCTTTTTTTTAACATATAATTCACGACATGTATTGTGCGTCGTAAAAAGATAATCAGTCTATTTGGTTTGAATTTTCTAGATTAAATTTTTTGAAAATTGAGTTTTTTTTATTTTCGCATTTTTTTTTGTAGTGAATATTTTTAAAATTTTAAACAATTTTTTTATTTTTTAAATGCACCTTACTTAGATGTATCTAAAAAATAAAAAATTTGTGAAAAATATATTTTAAAAAATTAATAAATACATGAAAATATAAAAAAAAAAATGTACTGAATTCTCGTATTTTTTTTTTTATATTTTTGGTATTTAGTGAATTTTTAAAAGGTTTTTTTCACAAATTTTTTATTTTTTATATATATTTATATTAGGTATGTCTAAAAAGTGAAAAAAATTGCTTAAAATATTTAAAAAATCAATAAAAACAAAAAAAATACGAAAAATAAGAAAGTAGAATTTTCTGAAAATTATTTTTGAAAAAATGGAACCAAGCAAGATGATAATACTTTTAACGGTAGGCAATGTGTGCGTCGTAAAAAGTACAATACTTTTAACGACGAGCGTTGTGTGCGCTGTGAAAAGTATTTCATGGCTGACGTATGTGTGTCATGTATAGTTGATATATTAATGGCATGCCATATGCATGTCATAAAAAGTTTTATTATTTACAACAAACATTGCAAGTTGTAACAAAATTATTGTTACTACCATTTACGGCCTACGCAATAGACACTCCGTGGTTGGAAAATTATTGACAACGTGCAAAAAAAGCAAGTCGTGAAAATGAGAAACTACGGCGTGCATTTCTTGTATGCCGTTGATGTGGTGCCGTAAAAAATCAGTTTTGTTGTAGTGACAGCTTCTATGCACAAGTTTTGTATACCCAACAAGACCATGGTCTATCAAACACAAAGTAATCATTGAACATATATATTTATATATATCATACAAATCATACAGATTAACCAACTAGTGGCCTACTCTGATAATAAAACCCCAAAACTCCATGAATTTCACAATAAATAGTACACAAAAAGCAAAAGCTAACATTTTGGGAAAGCTCCATGGAGATTCAACCATTGATATACTCACAAACAAACATGTTGATACATATATGTATATATATATATAGTTATAGATAATGAAATCAGAGTTGAGATCAGAAGTGTGAGCACTCTCACCTTTTAATCTATCAGGCCTCCATCACTCAGATCCTTCGTTTTTCCATATGATCTCTCTCTCTCTCTCTCTCTCTCTCTCTCTCTCTCTCTCTCTCTCTTTCTCTGTATAATGTCTAAAGTCTCTCTCTCTTCTTTCTCTCTCACTCTCTCTGTTTTTTAGGAGGAAAAGAAAACAAAACAAAATTAAAAGAACACAAATCATACCTGGACTGGCGGTCACAAGTGGCAATGCAAGAAAGGAGGCATCGGAACTGGTGGTAGAGGCAGAACAAGGGACAAAGTGAATGGACATTGTGGCTAGGGTTTCATTGCCGATTGGAAGTGAGAGAGTGACGAGAGAGAGAGAGCAAATCTGGCTATAGGGAGGAAGAGGGCCAACGATGAAAGAAGAGGAAGCATACAAATAAACATATATTAATTTTTTTTTTGTTTTCCTAATACAAAACAACGTTGTTTTACAATCGGCGACGAAATTTTTTCAAGTCCCGCCTCCACGTTTCAAATTTCCCTCCCAAACTTTTGGTGACCAAAAGACCAGATTAGTCGCAGAAAAAGTACCTTTGCCGACAAACTTTTTTAGTCGCCAAATCTCAATCAACGGCGACTAAAATACTAGTCGCTAAAAGTACTAATTTGGCGACTAATTTTTTTTTGGTTTTTGAAAATAAGTTTTTGGCGACCAAATTTTTGGTCGCCAAAGAAAAAAAAAATTATCTTCCATTTGGCGACTAAATTGTTTTAGTAGCCAAAACTCAATATACGACAACTAAAATAGTTTTGGTTGGGGAAAATAAGTTTTTGGCGACTAAAATTTTGGTCGCCAATTCTATAACCAACTTATTTTTGATCTTCCATGACCAACTTATTTTTTGGTTGCCAAAATATGACCTTCTGCGACCAATTTTGTAGTTGGTCGCCAAAAGCATACCACTTTCTATGACCAACTCATTTTTTGGTCGCCAAAATATGACCTTCTGCGACCAAATCATATTTGGTCGCTAAAAATAATAATTATTCGCGACTAATTAATATTTGGTCGCCAAAAGGTAACTTTTAGCTACCAACTTTTATATTGGTCGCGGAAAGTGGTCGCTAAAAGCGCAGATTCTTGTAGTGAGTTGTGGTAATGACCTTGAAAACTACTATCCCAAAGTATTAGCCACCTACAATTCCATATACTATAATGGAACCCCAACCTATGGAGGTTACTCTGACGTCATGGTGGCTGATGAGCACTTTGTGATTCGCATCCTTGACAACCTTCCTCTTGATGCTGGGATCACAACTTATAGCCCTCTAAGATACTTTGGACTAGACAAGCCTGGTATGCATGTGGGTGTGGTTGGTCTTGGTGGGCTTGGCCATGCAGCTGTGAAATTTGCCAAGGTTTTGGGTGTTAAAGTAACAGTGATCAGTACTTCTCTTGCCAAGAAGAAGGAAGCTGTTGAAAGGCTTGGTGTAGATTCATTTTTAGTTAGTCATGACCCAGATCAAATGTAGGTAACCAATTTTTTTTTTTCTTTTTCAAGTCATGGATACACTTTAAAAAGGGAGAGAAAAGAAATTTGGATACATTTTACCCTCTACCCCACTTTAGTGTGATTCATTTATTGGGTGGCTCAAATTTTTATTTTTTATTTTTTTAAAGTTAAGAATCTTGATTAGATACTTATTTTCTTGTTGATTTGATATGTTGGATGTAAATAGGTTGCTATGGGCACAATGGATGGTATTATAGATACTGTTTCTGCACCTCACCCTCTCCTACCATTAATTGGTCTGTTGAAGTCTCATGGAAAGCTTGTCTTGGTTGGTGTACCATAGAAGCCACTTGAGCTTCTAGTCTTTCCCTTGATCATGGGTAAGCATTAACATAACTAATTTGTTTTGAGGAATGTGTGTATAAATAAACAACACTTTTATACACATAGAATTGAACTGTAAAAAATACCAGACATTCATATACACCCCTGTGAGTATTCGGTATATTTTTTATGATTAGATTTTGTGTACCTAACTTTTTTCTGGCATAAATATATCAAAAGGCTTAAATTAGTGTATGGTGTTTCATGCATTAATTTTTAAGATGTCATGCTCAT